ACAGTTACACAGGTACAGATAGAGACATATCTGGCTGAGAGAACAATCCACCGCGTAGAGAGCCCATTTGAGTACTGGGGAAAGAATAAAGAACGATTTCCCTCCCTGGCTACTACAGCTGCAAAGTTTCTCTCCGCTCCCTCCACCAGCGTAGATAGTGAGAGGCTTTTCAGCACAGCTTCTAACATACTGGATAAGAAGAGGAATAGGCTGTCAGGAGATCATATAGAAACACTGATCTTCCTCAAGAAAAATCTGCCAATGTATCTGAGCTTGAACCCCAAAGACTTGAATCCTCAAGAGGACTGAGTAAACACTACTGTGTTGTGTGACAGTTCTGTGACTAATGTGAAATTTTTTTATTTTTTTTTATTTTTAGTTTCTTCAGTGTGGTTTTTGCAGTTGGTACTTGTTGGGAGGATACTAGCATTTATTTATTTTTATTTTATTCTGCACAGCCAGGTATCGGGTATCGGTATCGGGGCCAAAAAATGGCATCGGCGCAACACTACTTGTTACTTTTGGCTTCGGTTTAATGTTTATAAATATTTATTTCCCTCATATGCACCATCCAATGCAGATAATTGGCACCATCCACATGTAGTGAAAACTAGTGTAATTGGATGAGTCATATAACGCAAACACTCATTGGTTAGCTAATCGTCGAATTTGCCTCAAAGAATTTCTTCGAAATAGTCGTAAAATTGAGCTTTCAATTCATATAGTGGCATCTTGCTGTTTTTTTTAAAGGTTACTTTATACTTTTATACTTAAAGTATTTTTTGGAGCACATACTTTTTCACTTTTACTTGAGTAAATAGGTCAAGTTGATACCTCAACTTTTACCAGAGTGTTTTTAAACTGCAGTATCTATACTTCTACTTAAGTAACAAATCTGTGTACTTTTGACACCACTGGTACTGGCCCATGCCTAGGTGGATCTCTGCACACAGTGTGTGTCAGCTACCCTTTGTTCAGCCCTAGGCCTTGTGATCTGGTGTGTGTTGTGTGTTTCTGCCCTGTTTGCTCCTCTTCTTTGCAGGTTATGGTGATGAGGATCTGAACAGAGGATAGAAATCCCTGCCTCTTTCTCTCTCTCTCTCCACGCCCCCTGATGGACGCCATGCTGCTGGACATCATCATCATCATCATCATCATCATCATCATCATCATCATCATCATCATCATCATCATCATCATCATGTTTTGACTTCCATTCATTGTCAGTCATTTTAACCCTTTCTATGCCCTNAGACTGGTTGGGATGGTCAACTATCTGTCTAAGTTCTATGACCACCTCTCAGATGACTGTGAAATTCTGAGACAACTCACGCGCAAGGAGAACTTGTGGGAATGGACAGATATCCAAGAAGGGGCGTTTCAAAGGCTGAAAGACAAAATCGCTCAAGCACCAGTACTGCAGTACTACAACAAGGAAGAGGAGTTGACACTTCAATGTGATGCATCAGACACAGGACTGGGGGCAGCCCTGACACAGAAAGGCAAACCGGTAGCTTTTGGCAGTAGGGCACTCACACCAACTGAAAAAGGTTATGCCCAAATAGAAAAAGAATGCTTAGCCATCATGTTTGGTATGGAAAAGTTTCATCAATATACTTATGGTAGAGAGGTCACAGTACAGAGCGACCACAAGCCTCTCGAGAATATACACAGTAAGCCCTTACTTAGTGCACCTAAGAGACTACAGAGAATGCTACTCAGGCTGCAGCAGTATGATATTAGAGTAACCTATGTTCCAGATAGGGATATGCTACTTGCAGACACGCTGAGTAGAGCATACTTACCAGAGAGCACCAGAGGAGAGAGTGAGACAGATATAGAGACTGTAAATATGGTCAACTACCTACCCATTTCAGCAGAGAGGCTGAGTGCCATCAGGGCTGTAACAAAAGATGACCCAAAGTTGCAGAGTGTGGCAAATAGAATACTGTTAGGGTGGCCCAAGAGGAAACAAGACCTACCAAGTGACATCAGACACTACCACACCTTCCAAGAGGAACTGAGCTTCCAGGATGGCATTGTGTTCCGAGGAGACAGAGCCGTGATACCGGACGCACTCAGGGTGGACATCACTCACAGGATCCACTCCTCTCACCTGGGAGTAGAAGGATGTCTGAGACGGGCGAGGGAATGTGTATACTGGCTTGGAATGAATGAGGAGATCAAGAACTTCATCTCCAAATGCGACATATGTAGGTCAGTGGACCCAAAGCAACAAAGAGAGACACTACACCCACATGACATGGCAAGCAGACCCTGGGCCAAGGTAGGAACAGACCTTTTCTCCTTTCACAATAAAGACTATCTGATAACAGTAGACTATTATTCAAATTTTTGGGAGATTGATTTTCTGCCCGACACGAAAAGTAACACAGTGATCAAAAAACTCAAAGCCCACTTTGCCCGACAGGGGATCCCAGACATTGTTATCTCAGATAACGGACCCCAATATGCATCACTAGAGTTTGAGCACTTCAGCCAGAAGTGGGGCTTTGAACATAGGACATCGTCGCCGGGATACCCGCAGAGTAATGGGAAGGCAGAGTCAGCGGTGAAAACAGCCAAACGCCTGATGTTGAAGGCTGCAGCAGCGAGACAGGATCCGTACTTGGCCATGCTGGATCATCGCAACACACCGAGCCAGGGCCTCAACACAAGCCCGGCGCAGAGACTTCTAAGCAGGAGGACCAGGACCCTGCTTCCCACTAAGGACACTCTGCTGAAGCCTGAGGTAACACACAACGAACAGGGACTGAAATACAACAGACAGAGACAGGAAAAGTACTACAACCGCACAGCAAAAGACATGGACTCTCTGGAAGGAGGGGCCAGTGTGAGAGTACAGCCCTGTGACACACACCAGGGCTGGAGACCAGCGAAAGTGGTTCAGCAGGTTAGCCATAGATCATATAAGGTGGAGTTAGAGTCAGGAGGGGTTTTGAGACGAAATCGTCACCACCTCAGGCACGATCTCACCAAGCGCACGATTACACAAAACACACCCACACCAACAGTGACGGAGGTGGCCATACCACCGGGTGGCCCAGTGAACCAAGAGACGGTCACCAGGTCAGGAC